TTAAATATTTAATGGCAGTGCAACTGTTCTGAACAACTTACAAGGATTCCGTGGCTACCACTCTTTCTGCCAACCCATACAGTGTATCCCCAGATGTCAAAACCACTAAGTGACTGAGGTGTGGACTTGGCACCTTCTCCTTTCTTTCTTCTGCTGCTGTGAGCGTGGCAGTAGGATCAGCTGAAACTTCCTGAAAATAGAATACACATACAACCTGGAATAGCAAATCTAACAGTAATAAACTACCTGATTTTGACAAAAATAGAACTACAATTAAAATACTCTTGGGGCATACATTAATTACATTTAGTTTCAGTTCTTTTTATCCTGCTTTCATGTTTTGTAACTATTGGAACCTCCTTTTTAATCCTAAGTGAGAATAAGCCTATATAATATCATCCAACTCTATATGCCACCATCTGTGCATGACCTAAAGTCTGCCAACACAAGGACTCTTTATGAATTGACAGATGTTTCATAGAGACAATACTGAGATGGGCCTCAAGAACTTGTTAATGAGAGAAATATGATTACCCCTTGAGAACCACACCGATAAAATCCAAAATTATGGTTTGATTAACCATCTCACACCCAAATTTTAATCAAGGTTACCTTGGTATATCATCTCAAAAAGGCAGAACTAGAATGAAGTTATAAACTGGAAAAGAGCCAACTGTACTGTATATGTCTGGGGACAGACTACTGATAAGAAGGAAGACAGTCAATGTGAACAAAGGAAAGGGATACCCGGGAAGCAGGGGGTGCTGGTCCCTTCAGCACCATCCAGGAGAGAACTATGGATTCAGGTACATAGCCATGTAGTCAACAGGAGTGACGCAGTCTAATTTGTGGTCAGGATAACTCATCAGACTTCAAATTTCTCAGTTTTACTTTCACCTGATGATATAGTCACTAGAAATCTTCTCATTACTAATTTACTTTTCTAGGTATTCTCATGCCAGGCCAGGAGCGCCTTGGATATGAGTTATGTACATTCTTGGACTTTATAAAAACATATCCTATAATATAAACAAACAGGTTGGCAAAGGAAGAGTTTCAAAGATACACTTACTCAACTTCTCAGTAGATAGCAAGGGACTCAATTGTTTCTAAGCTCTTAGCAAACAGTTAACAAAAAATTCAACTCACTGGCACACTGGCTACCTTTTTTCTTCCAGGAGGGTGGAAGTATATTGAGATTGTGGGTAAAGATGTGCTAGGCTGCCTACTTGGAGTGGCTGACAAAGTAGCAGAAGACTGCCAGTTCAAGAGTTACCAATAACTCCAAATATTTCAATAAAGATACATTTCGGCGAATAAGTTTCCCTTTGTACAGCAAACATAAAAGAAGGCTGTTTTGAATACTGACATCATCATAACAGTTATTTGAATAGTTGCTGCATTACACCTTAGAGAAAGAGAGAACTAATTGTTCTTTTCTGGGGCACAAAGGAGAGAGGTAGAGGTAGTGACACTGCAGGAATCTTAACATCGCTGATGACAGTATAATCTAGAGTCACTTCACTGTGAAGGCTATTAATAACTTTTATAACCAATATATTTCTAATAACAATGAGCTTGAATTACAAATGGACATTATACTTTTGGTTAAGTATAGAGTTTTGCAGTAATGACATGACCACAAACTACATTCATTACATTTTGAAAAAAGTTCCATAAGATAAATTTACAAAGAGAAAAAAATAGAATAAAAGCGATGTAAGTTAAGCAATAGCTCATAGTATAAAAGTGCTGTTATGTTTTTTAAAGTTAACCTGAATACAATTAACCCCTGCCCCCACTCAAAGTTTTTAAATGTTGATTGAATCATAGGATGACAGAGTTAGAAGAGATGCTAAACATTATATAATACAGCCCCAGCAGTATACGTACTACTTTCAGTATGGAAAACACTCCATGATTATCTCTATTATGGAGTTTAAAGGTGAGAACATGTAAGCAGGCAGATAGCACAACTAAATGTTTAAATTCAAATAAAACAGCTTTAAAAGACACTCAAAATTTAGCACAAAAGTTGGATGTAAACAAATCTAAAAGTGTACAAAATATAAAGCTACATTACTTTTTAAAGCAACTTTATAGTAACAAATCTCCAATTATTTTCCATATGAATAAATGAGACATCAAATGTATAAGTCTCTAGGAGTACAATTTAGTCCTATAAATTTAGCAAAATGCAAATAAAAATCACAAAATCTTTCAAGTTAGAAAATGGTTTAATTCTCTAGTTCTTTTTTTATTTCCCATCTTCTTCTAAAGACAGTATCTCTCTTCAATCTCTAATTACTCAATTAGCATTTAAAAGTTAGTTTGGGAATAATTGGGCTTCCTCTAGGGAGAAATAGGATCATGGAACCATGCAAGTTAATCAATGTCATATCTCCATTATTCATTTCCCTCTAAAAAGGAAATAACCCTACTCCATGGGGGGGAGCAAGGGAATATAAGAATTCACAAAATCAAATACTGTTTGGCATCAATAGGTTGCCTATGCTATTTAATTCTGGTAGTTACTGATAAGAACCAAGTAAGGAACCAAAGAGTCATTCATGACTCCCCTTCTTCCTCACCTTCCACATCTAATCAGTAAAACATGCCTAAACAGACATCTCTCTTGTTTGTTCCTTCCTGATGTTATTTAAACAGGTTGCAGGCTCCTTAGCAGTCTTGACTGGACTATTCTAAAGTCCACGAATAGAGCTGTCTTTAGCCTCTCCTATTTTTATGCCAGTTTCCACATAGTTAAGTGGCTCAATTTTTCTACAAAAGTGATGTGAACTTTCTCAGAGATGTGATCATAACACTCTATGGTTTTAAAACTTCAATCCATTCCTCCTAGGAAAAAACCTAAACCTGTTGCCATGATATTACCTGTTTATAACTGACTCTAGCCTAAAACACTTTTCCCCAAAATATCTTCCCCCACTAGAAAATAAACTCCGCATAAGTAGGGAGTTTTGTCTGGCTTCCCCACCTTCCCCTACAATTATATCTTTAATTCCTATAATAGTGCTTGGCACCATATATAGTGTTCAACAAACAGATAAGAAATAAACATTTGTTGAATAAGGGTGACCCACTCTCCTATTTCCTTTAGGGATCTGCTTCAGTGTTCCTTCCCAGAGGGATCTTCTCTAACTGCCCAAATAAAATTGCACCCTTTCTCTCTCTGTCCTCACCTAGTTCTTCATTGATCTCAACATAATCTGATGTTAAATTAGATCTTTATTCCTTAACTGCCTCCTCCACTCTGGGGACCATCAGTCTACCACAAAGTACCTAGGCATGCAATATGTTTTGTCGAATGAATTAGTAATAAAGATAGCTATCCAACTATCTTGTATCCCATCCTGCACCCTCATCACATAGCTCCTAGTTTTCTGTCTGCTTCCAATACCTGTTACAGTGCTCTCAATTTTCTTCTTGGTTCACATTGTAAACACCTATTTCAGAACAAGTCAAAGACTGGTGAGGAGACCTAAAACTCTGAAACATGTAAACCGAATAAAGCAACAGGGAGAAGAAATGACTCACTTGTGCAAAATGGCTAGGCCAGTCAAAGTGGTCCAAAAGGGGTAGAAATAGAAATAACAGAAAATAGTTCAAGAGAGAAGCATATTTGGCTACATCATAACAAAGCACTTTCTATCAGGCAGACTTAAGGCAAGAAGGGCTGCTTTGGGTGGTTGAGTTCCCAAAAAACAACACTGGAGATGTTCAAGCAGAAGCTGACAGTTACTAGGTATGCAGGAATGCTATACAGATTAAATAAGCACAGATAAGTTTCCTTCTATGAGTAAAAACTTGGAAGATTATGCTTCAATAGTATAACAAAACTCCTTCTAAGCATCAAACACTTCTCTTTATAAAATATTTTATAATTAAACTAAATCTAATATGAACTTTCTAACAATATTGTACAATCTCAAACTCAAAATAGCTCAAGGATCCCATGAATACCACACACTTAACCACAGCAGTTACTTTTGCATTTCATTCTTTCTGATTAGATATCACATACACAACATATTTATAAAACTGTAAGTTTCTCTGATTTTAGATACTAACTAGTTAATTAGGAATAGAACAGGGAGGTAACTCTAGAAAATAACGGAAAGCAAGGAGAGGGTATATCTACAGCCTGAGAGAATACAGTTCTCTCTCTATGACAAGAGGAGCCAAAAGTACTTACCTAACTACCTCCTTAGTGCCTCCAACACAAATGTGTTGAGGTCCCTTCTACTCAGGGAGCTCTTTCACAAAAGTGTTCTTTAGATCACTGGAATTGCTGCCCCCACTTCAAGAGGTTTTCATTAAAATATCTTCCTTTGTTCTCAGTTGTATGCATGGCATTTGAGGCATAAAATTTCTGATAATTATTTGCTGAAAAACTAAAGTTCTGTGTTTATGTTTAGAAAAACACACTTGAAGAGAACGAGACAGTCATGAAAATGTCAAGCTGACATAAATAAATGGTATGTGCTTACTGCATACTTAAAAAGCTCCTAAACTAGGTGTTTCAGTTTACATGAGTACAATAAGTAAAGGATATAACCCTTTAAAGACTGAGAAATGAAAACTTAACCACCTTTATTCTCATGGTGAAAGTCACATTTTTTAGCCTTTCCTGCCACCAAGGTACTACTCCAAAGAAGGTTCATATTTATGAATTTTTCTGGACAAATTTAAAGTACTTTTTATTGTCAAAGATTTAAAGTTGGCTAAAGGGCCAGGCACAATGGCTAATGCCTGTAACTCTAGCACTTTGGGAGGCTGAGGTGGGAGGATAATCTGAGGTCAGGAGTTTGAGACCAACCTGGCCAACAAGGCGAACCCATCTCTACTGAAAATACAAAAACCAGCCAGGCATGGTGGTGGGCACCTGTAATTCCAGTTACTCGGGAGGCTGAGGCAGGAGAATTGTTTGAACCTGGGAGATGGAAGTTGCAGTAAGCTGAGATCGTGCCACTGCACTCCAGCCTGGGTGAAAGAGCAAGACTCTGTCTCAAAAATAAATCAATAAATCAGTCAAAATAAAAAAGTTGGCTAAAGGTCTTAAAGTAAAGAATTTAGTTAGTATTACCAAATGGGTAACTAAAAATTCACATTTCTGCTGTCACTGTGACATATACCAGCTTCCTTTCTTACTTTTCCTGTTAGACAGCTTTTCTTAAACTTTTATTTGATGTGACAAACAAATTTTTTTAGTTTACACTGAATGTATATGATAAGTTATTTCAGGTGGCCATTTTAAGACCACAGTGATTCCATTTTGCCTTTTATAGCTTAAAGAGAAGTAAAACTTAGAATATCTATATGGAGAAAATAAAATTACCAAAAAGTATTTATTAAGATTTTAACTGACATGCAAGAGAAATATAAGGAAAAATATTACTTCAATCTAGTTGGTTTCAGATTGATTAAGCTATAAATTATTTTAATAGCCAAAGAATGTATTGAGCAGGAAGAAATTACTGTATTCTGTCAATGTAAATGATTAATTTACAATTAATGTACTCTGTCAATGTAAATGCAAATTAATGAATTGAAGAAAATTAATACATACCAGCTTAAAAAATCCTGAGATCAAGCAAAGTCTAGTAAATGACAAATATATTTTCTAAAATAACAAACCAATGTTTATCGGTATGAGTAATAATTCATTATACACCATGTGGCAAAACCTGAAGCAGAAATTCACATCTTAAGGGTCAACTCTAGAACTGGAGTTTGATGATCACAAGACAGTAGCTAGCAGGGATGACACAGAAATGCCAGAGTGAATGAGTCTAGTAGTAAAATTTGGCCCATCAATCTTGGGGCTTTCAGTCAGAAACAAGAAAAACTTTAGCTGTGGACTAAGATGTGGAGAGTAAGATCTCAAACTCAAGGTTATACTTAAGTATCAAATAAGAAGAATAAAAATGGAAACACAGAAAACTGCAAGTGGGGCTGAAAGCTGATGGATTTTACAAAACAAAGACTAAAAACAAACAAACAAACAAAAAAACAAAAACAAAAAGGCTGGGCCAAATAAGGAGCCTTGATTCTAAAATTGAAGATCAAGGATTAAACAAATATCAAAACCAAGAAAAATAAGTCCAGTTAAGCCAAGAAACAAGAAACTCAGATACTGGAGTATGTTCATCTACTCTATGAACATTTACTGAAGCAATGCTATGTGCCAAGGTAAGTGATATGACTATATTTTTTTTTAATGTGATGTTAAGAAAGAAGGATAGCAGTTATTTCCTCTGCCCAAGCAGCACTCACCTGAGATATCAGCACATGCCTCTCTCACTTTATTGACATCTCTGTTTAAAATCCCCATCCTATCACTCTGCTTCAGTTTCATCTGAGTACTCATATTATACATTTGTCTGTCTTTCTGCTCCAAAAAAATAAAATTTCCAAGACAGGAAATATCTCTTCTGTGCACTGATGAATTCCCAGCCCTATAACAATGCCTCTCATATAACAATTGTTGCAATAAGAATTTCTTAAAAGAATTAATAATCATGGTTTTATAAAAGCTTCAATAACAGAAGTATGCACATAATATAGAGCTTATGAAAAAGGAAGAAAATGATTGCTTGTTTGCGTTAGGTTGAAGGAATAAAGGAAAATTCAGAGAAGCCTGGGATTAAGGTAGATGCAGAGAAACATCTGAACAACATAAATTACTGGCTACAGTGACCAACCACAGGAAAAAAGTTTTTCTCATGTTAAATGCTTGCGTTAGTTGAAACACTATAGGCCAACCCTGTGTTGCTGTCTAACCTATCTTCTTAAAACATGCATTTTATCCTGTGACAACCATCAAGAACTAGGCTCCCTACTACACAGCAAATTAAACCCGAACTCTCCTTGAATTTCAAAGCCATTTATAAAGTATCTCAAACACTGTCTGCAACCTAACTCTGCAGCATAGACCAGTGTCCCAATCCTAAGATCTGTCAAACTTTGGGCTGTACCCACCTCAAGACCTTTGCTCATCCTGTATACCTTAATTCAAAGACTTTTCTCTTTCCCATTAATCCTATGCCTGATTTTTGAAGTCTAGCACAAGTGTCACTTCTTCCTTTAGTCCTCCTCTAATATTAGTTTTTCACATAAGCCTTTCTCCTCTTTGAACTTGTGTTTGATGTATGCCCAATATCACATTCTTTCATGTATACTAGTTTCTCTCTGATCAGACTATAAGCAACCTCTGTTTTACTTCCTATATGCACTCATTTAATTCTGAGGACTCAGCTACTCAGTACACATATAGATACACATTTATATGAAGTTAATTGAATAGCTAATTTCCATTTTATATACTCCAAAAGAATTGATTCCAATTTATTACTTACTAGATCAATAAGGCTTTCCTGTATTCTGTTTAGAGTTGTTCTTAGTCTACTACTACTAAGGCCGAGTCCTGTTGATTCCAACTGAAAAAGAAAAAGGCTTGTTACATTGTTCTAGAGATCATCTTGCAAATGTTACATCTTCAAATTAACCAAAGTATTTGATGAGTTTTCACTCAGATACTTAGCCTTCAGAGGGTTTCCATATTGCATTTACAAATTCTAGCACATCAAGTAAAGAACTCAAATCTCAAAGGAACCAAAGAAACATTTACCTGTGTGCATTTACAAGGCACACTAACATCTATCAATCTTAAGAATTATCAGGAGAGAGTTCTCCAGAATTTCTTTCTCACAAGTCATTATTTTTAGTTGCAAAACTTGAGATTTTAGATAAAGATATTACACTCTGTTGTATGTAAAGTATGCCGTGCTGTGTTCATGTAGCAGCAGAACAATGTAAAGTTATTTATATTTTTGCTCAACTTACTTTTCTTATACAAATTAGCAACAGCCTAAATCCTCATTCAAAAATCATACAATTTTCTATTAGGCTCGGTAAACATTTCACCGTATAGATAGTACTCTATTCATACAACAAAGCCAAAGCATTTATAAAAACCTTCACACAAGAGCATAAATGAGAAGGATAAGAATAAGATATGAAAAGCCAGTTAGTCAGCTTCTTGTGTGTGATGATTCCATTGATGAAAATAAATTTAATTTAGAGGTAATCATACATACTTATAGGCATTTGAAAAAATGTTACAATGTTTTCTATGAGCCAATAAATTAAAAACATTATTAATAGTAAGTTATAAAATATATTTCATTAGCAGTCATAGCAATTATGTATGAACATGACTATACATGCATGTAAGCATAAATGAACATTTATTATTCCTCTTCCTCTACCATTTGAGATATAAGAATGAGAAATTATTTACATGTGTCAGAGAGTCTTAAGTGAAAATAGTTGTAACACTGTGGAATAAAACATGAACTAATTTTATATGCCAATTTAATAATTAATACATTTTATTTTCTCTAGGTTTTACAAATAATCCATTTTTCTTCTATTTTCATTAGGTATTATTTATAGATAAATCACATTCACTCTTTTTAAGTACAGTTGGATGAATTTAGTAATTGCATACAATCTTGCATCCAGCACCATAATATAGAGAAGAGTTTCTTCCCCATTAAAAATGTCCTCATACCGTTTGCCCTTATCCCCTTCCCACACCCTTAACCCATTACTTGCTTTCTTCCACTATAGTTTTTGCCTTTTCTAAAATTTCATATAAATGGAATAACATAGTATATAATCTTTTGTGTTTGATGTGTTTTACTTAGAATGCTTTTGAGATTGATCCATGTTGAGTCTCGTGGTATTTTGTGATGTTTTATTGCTTCATTGTATTTAGTCGTATGAATGCAGTACAATCTCTTTACTTATTCAATTAACATTTGGATTCCAGTTTTGAGCTATTTGAACAACATCACTATGAACATTCATGTGAAGGTCCTTATCTAGACATATATTATTTTCACTTCTCTCGGGTAAATAACTAGACTTTCTAATTCATATATCAGATATGTTTTTAACCTTATAAGGTACTTCCACATTGTTTTCTAAAGTAGCTGTACTGTTTTCATTTCTACACATAATGCACATGAATTCTAGCTGTTCCATGTCATGGACTAAATATTTGTGTTTTCCCTTAAGTTGAAGCCCTAACCCCCAATGTGATCATATTTGGAGATGGGGCTTTTGGGAGATAAAATCAGCTTTAGATGAGGTCATGAAGGTGGGTCCCTGGTACAATGGCATTACTGCCATTTTAAGAAGAGACACTAGGGCCGGGCGTGGTGGCTCACGCCTGTAATCCCAGCTACTTGGGTGGCTAAGACAGGAGAATAGCTTGAACCCAGGAGGCGGAGGTTGCGGTGAGCCAAGATTGCACCATTTCACTCCAGCCTGGGCAGCAAAAGCAAAACTCCGTCTCAAAAAAAAAAACAAAGAAGAGACACTAGAGAGCTTACTGCTATCTCCTTCTACATGATCAAAGGAAAGGCCATGTGAAGACGCAGGCAGAAAACCACCACCTACAAGCCAGGAAGGGTGACCCTGCCAGAAAATGAATTGGCCACCACCTTGATCTGGGACTTTCTAGTCTCTAGAACTGTGAGAAATAAATTTCTGTTTTTCAGCAGCCCAGTCTACAATATTTTGCTATGGAAGGTGGAGCACACTAAAAGATTCCACAAACTTGCCAATTCTTAATACCATCAGTCCTTTTAACTAGCCATTCTAGTGGTTGCGCAGAAGTATTGCAATGTGCTCTTCAAGTGCACTTCCCTGATGACAGTGACGTCAAACATCTTCTCGTGCTAATTAGCCATTCTCATATCTTCTTTTACAATGCAGATATCTGATAAAAATCTCTTCCCATTTTTTAAGCGGGTTTCTTCTTGAGTTGTAAGAGTTGTTTACACTTTGTGTAAACATGCACTTTCTCAATCTGGTTTGCAAAAATTTCTCTTGGTCTGACATGCCTTTTCATTTTTCTTTTCCTTTAGCAAATGTTAACTACCAGGAAGCCCATTTTATCAATATTTTCTTTTATGCTTCATGTTTTTGTATCTTTTCAAAGACGCATATGCCTAACCCAAATGTCACACAGATTTTTTCCTAGTTTTTCCAAGAAGTTTCATAGTTTTAGAACTTCTTTAGGTCTTATAAACAATGTTTATTTATATTCTTGTGTATAGTATGAAGAAGGGGTTGAGGCTTTTTCTTTTCATACCCTTATCTAGCAGTATTTGTTAAAAATAACTATTTTTTTCTAATGAAGTGCCTTAGTGCCCTTTTCAAAAATCAGTTGTCCATGTAAGTGTGTCTATTTCTGTTGCACTGATCTATATATCTACTGTTAGGTCAGTACCATACTTTATGAATTACTGTAGCTTTAGAGTAAGTTTTTGTGAAATCAGGTATAAAAATCCTCTAAGTCTGTTTTTCAAAAATGTTTTGGCTATTATGAATATTTTGCTTTTTGTATCAATTTTAAAATAAACTTCTAAATAGCTTCAAAAAATATGTTGCTACAGTTTTGATTGGGATTATACTGAATCTACATATTTGGAGAAGACTGCCATCTTTACAATATTGAGTTTTCTAATATATGTACGTGGTATATCTCATTATTTATTTACATAGTCTTTAATTCCCTTTCTAGGCTTTAATATTTTCAGCGTACAAGTCTATAAATTATCTGTTAAATTTCTAAAAACAAATTGACGTTATTTTAAGTAAAGCTTTTTAAATTTTTTCATTTTCAAATTGTTCATTATTATTGATTTTTGTATACTGACTTTATATTCTAGGAGTTTGCTAAACATATTTATTACTTCTAGAAGCTTACTTGTGGAGTCCTTAGGATTTGCAGTATCATCTGCAATTAAGGACAACTTAACTTCTTTTCCAATCCATATGCTTTATATTTCTTAAGACAAATGCTAGGATCTCCAGCACAATTGTTGGGGGTTTTTTTGTTTTCTTTTTTTTTTTTGCGACAGGGTCTCGTTCTGTCGCCCAGGCTGCAGTGCAATGGTGCAATCACAGCTCACTGCAGCCTCAACCTTCAGGGTTCAAGCAGTCTTCCGCCCTCAGCATTCCGAGTAACTGGGACTACAGGTACAAGCCACCACATCTGGTTAATTTTTGTATTTTTAGTAGAGACAGGGTTTCGCCGTATTGCCCAGGCTTGAGTTCTTCTGGGTTCAAGCAATCCTCCCACCTCAGCCTCCCAAAGTGCTAGGATTACAAGTGTGAACCACCATGCCCAGTCGATTTTTTTATATTTAAAGTGTGTCTTTTTGTTTGTTTTTTAGTGTGGGCTTTATTTTTAATCCATTCTGACAGTCTCTGCCATTAGAGAGTTTAGTCCATTACCATCTAATGTAATGATTAACTGAGTTTCCACCTACTGTTATATTTTCTGTTTTCCCTCCTTGGTTCTCCCTTTACTGCCTTTTGTAATTATATGAATATATTTTTAGATTTCTAATTTAATATTCCTGTTGGCTAAAGAATTAAAGTCATTTGTATTATTTTTCATGGTCATTCTATGGATTACAATATTCATCACTGCTATACAGATACCTTGCTATACAGAAATCTTGCAACATTATACATCCATACCCTCCCCACATACTTTGTGACAGTTTTTATATATAATACATCTACATAAATTATGAACTCCAGGAAGACTATGCTATGATTTCAGTGTTAAACAGCTTTATGGTTTATAAAGAAAGTAAGTGGATAAAGAAAAATATTATCTTTTGAATTTCCACAGGTAGACTCCATTACCAGTGCTCTTCTCTCTTTTCTAAAGATGTAAGTTTTCTTGTGTAATCATTTCTCTTCAGTTTGAATAACTTCCTTTAGGAATTCTTGTATGTCCCTTGTGACAAATTCTTAGTTTTTTTGTTCTTTTTATCTAAAAGTATCTTAATTTCACTTTCATTCTCAAATGATGTTT